CCCTGGGAGGAAATAAGTATGTTCATTGAGCTAATAGCATTGTTTGACTCCGACCTTTCTTTCTGGGGGTCTCAAGTTCAATGTGTTCACAATTTGTCTCTTGTTTTGTCTCCTTTCTTTAGCATTGTGGACCAAATCTCAATCAGGAGTATCATTCAGGAGTATCATATCATCTTTGATTCTGAGGCCTTGATCTCCATATCTTGAAAATCAAAGCTTGTTTAAATCTGCATTCTTTGGTACAATGTCTCTCCTGCTCAGTCCCTCTTATTCGTTCATACAGCTGAACTCTTATCTACCACCATTTTCCATTCTAAATACTGTGACTTCTTTTCTTTTCTTTATAATTGGTGTTAGCATTTATTTTTCATCCCATTCCTACATTTTTAAATAAGGACTTTCATGCTTTCTGTTACTTTTATTCCTGTGTTTGAGAAGAGTGCCCAGTGAATATCTCTCAAGCTATCTCACCACTTTCCTCCAGATGCTTCCTCAGAACTCATTGTGCCTGTGTTTCCTGCGTCCATGTGATGAGGCCTACCACATCGTTCAAAATCACCTGTTTTCCTGCATTTTAACAGCAATCTTTGGACAAGCATCTGTTGACTTATGCTTTAGACACAGATGGTGAAATTTTTGAACAGTGAAACATTACTTTGTCCTGCCTTCCACTATGACCGCTAACTCCACTGCTAATATTCCAACTACCTACCATGGATTTTCCTCATACAAGATAAAACAGTGACAAAGAAAATTGATTTGTTCCTGTCAGAAAGTATTATTATAATGACTACAGTTCTTCACCTATGAATGAAGAGTATCAGCTATAGAGATTTCTGGAATTTGCTTTCAGGACTTTTGTATAGTTAGGACTATACAAAATCATTTTCCTCAAAAGATGTTTCAGAAAGTCTTAACTTCAGGGATCCCATGTGTGACTTCCACGGGCAAGAAATGCGCCTTTGAGAACCCAGAGTTGGGCATGGTAACTCTCAAGAGTTACTATGTTGCCCTTAGCACAGGAACCAAGATGTATTTGGTCCTCAAAGGAATGTGCAAATTCATATGAAAGTCTGTTTCATCCTCTCAGTCACAGGCATCAAGATTTCACAGCAGACACAACTTCTGGCACAAATTCATTCTGCTTTTAATATCACTTCTGGCTTCCATCGTTTCACTTGCAGAAAGAAACAATTTTGTGGAAGCATCTTTCAAAATGACTTCATTGTCCATGGTAAATGCTTTCAGCTTCCCTTGAGCACCAGTAAACTGCAGCAGACACAGTCTGTATTCAAACCTCAGACAGCAAATTAAAGACCACTACCTAGCACAGCTCTTGCTACTGCAATTTCTTTGGTGAGCTGCTGCTAGCAGGAAATTATGAACAAGAAATCACAAGTGGTTCAGCCATCTCCCACAGCTTTACAAATCTATAAGTAATGTTAATATAGATTAAAAACTATATCTAATATTACGTCTAAATTACTGTATATCTTACATATATTACCTTCTTTATGTATGTCCTGAATACTGGTGAACTGAATATGCAGCAGACATGTAACAGTCTCTTTAATCTCTGCCCACGAATTCACTAAAAAAAACAAAGACTACTGCTCTTTAAAAAGCCAATATAGTTCAAATATAAGTCATACTGCTGAATTAAAGAAGTGTTTCAGAGAAAGCCCCTGTGGAATTCAGTGGAGATTATGGCAAGCAATTTGTTTTCAAGGTAAATATTTAAGGTAATGATTTTCCTTTTTTTTTTTTTTTTTTTTTTTTTAATTTGGGAAATGCTCTTGGAAATAAATGTATTTGTTTAAATTATTGTTCAAATGTTGTATCTGAACTTATAATCACTTTTTAAATAACATAATTAAAGCCAAAGATAATTGAGTAAGAATGACACTTTAAGGCCATTTAGTAGAATAAATTAAATCCTTGTGTTAAAATAGAGTAGTTTATTAAATATATATATATTTTTAAACATTAACATTATCTCCTTTCTTTGTTTATGTGCAATTATATAATAGTGTTGCTAATTACTTTATGGTAAGAAATAATTACTTAAGATTACTTAAGTTTAATTTAAAATCGATTAAAACCAACTCATTAAACAGAAATAAATCAGTACAACGCCCAGTAGCTCTCACTTCGCAAAACCAGTATGTGGCGCTGTCTCCTGTGAAAAAAACAGCCCCGAGTTTCGGGAAAGCTGGTCTCCAAAATCGCTTGTGTGTACATTGTCAGGTATGTCACATTGGTTTGAAGAACAGATAGGATAATAAAACCTGAAATTTTTTAAATAAGATCAATGTTATATATTTGCAATGATTCGAAATACTAAAAGATTCTCATACTAAAAGATTATTTATTTTCATTTATCAACAAACAAACAAACAAACAAAGGAGCAAGCAAGCAAGCAACAACAACAACAAACAGACAAATTGTAAGAATGTATATACTACATCTATTTCTGTGGTTTTGGCTACTATTTTAATAAGGAAAAAGGTAGGTATGTTTATATATAAGTAAATAACAATTGGCAATTGAATCACAATAACTTGTGATTCAGAAAACAAAAATAAATCCAAGAATAGCTGCAAGAAGTGTGTTCTGAGAAGTTCACTAAAAAGAATCCTGTCTGTTTTGAAAGATCGCCACGGTATTATCTGGGACTTCTGAAAGATCCAAAGACATTTGACCAATTAGATGATTCCATTATGCTTAAAGATTTGTGCATCTCATTTATTTCCAAATGGATGTATTTTAGAACGAAATTACTAAGCTCTCTAATATGACTCTATTTACAAAGGTATGTGTCTTACCTTTCAATCTGTTGGATATTTAGCCTGTAGTGGGTTTTGATTACCCACAAAATTCTTGAGCTGGGGAGCCTGTTTCTTAATCTCCATGTAAGGGAACAGGACCTGTGTGAATTCTGTTTTACTGGAACTGAACAGCCGGTCTTTTGTGTGCTAACTGAGTTGGCCCTTGCTTAAAAGGAATTCACAGACTACACTGATGATCTCTGTAACCGTGACCTTTCAAACACAAGCAACTGAGTAAACTGTGTATTCATGAACTTTTTAATTTTTAAGGGCTCTGTGCCCTTTGCTACCAGACTTTATAAAACAAAGGAAACAGGATTCATACCCTTTTACTCAGAGCTGGGGATTATAATATGCAACATAAATTGCATTAGCACTAACACTGGGGTTATATCTATACAACCATCTGCCCTCTCTAGATTTGTAGTCTGATTTATAGATGGTAACATATTTTTTTTTAAGGCAGTTCTTATTATCTGCTAAAATATGGCAAAACTTGAAAGCATTTGGTGTACCTGTAAACACTATGAATCAGTGAAGCAATTTTCTTTTCCTGACTCCATGCAAAAGGTTGCAAAAGATTCAGCTAAGGCTTAATAAAACCTATTCGAAAATTAGTCAGTTAGAAACTGATTTTCTGAACTTAATATTGAGGCCTGAATGGCCTCATAACTGTTTGTCACAGTATTGCTGGGATTGTGCTTTTACTTCTGTGCTGTTATATATGTGGTTCCTTATTGTTTTTCAACACAGAGATGCCAAAGTAGGTTAAGATCATCAACTGCTGTCAGCAGAACCCTAACCCGTTTTCTAGCAGCAAGAAATCTGTCTGGATTGGGATCAGTATTTCCAGGCCACCTACTACTCCTGCTCATTGAAAGCCATGGGTGATCGGTCCATTTCCAAAGATGAGGAATACTTCTGGAGCTGGAGCTGAGACGGTCTCCCTTGGCACATTTCCAGAATAGCCTGCTCAGAACATTTACACAGTGCAAGCAGCGGGGCAACTTCTATGCCAGGAAGTGGCAGGTGACCTCTTCTGGTTACTGTGCTCCCTCAAGCACTGAAGACATGGACTGTCATTTCAGTTTGTTAACACTTGCAGGAGTGAATGTGGCCTACTGGCTTCTCTTGAGTGAAGATTTCCAGTCAACTGACAGGAGGGTTGAGCTCAGGCACTGTGAGCTGCAAAGTAACATCTAAATTAGAATTTGTTTTGCTTCCTGTTATAGTGGCGTCTTACAAATACAATCTGTATGTTACTCATACGGTTTAACTATGGATTTGGTCTGGATTTAACAAGCCTTTTTATATTTTGATTTTCCATTTTATAGATATAGATGTATAGGTTTGTGGAAAATGTATATATGGATTCTGGCAAGAAAAACTGCATTGAGGTATATGCTTTATTTCACATTTGTGCACAATGGAGTATCCATTAGGAAAATAATTATAACCACGTAAAATTAGTACAAGCAAGACCGGTCAAAGACCTTGCTGTATTTTGATTAGATTTCAGGTGAGTTTCCTAAAATGTACTTAGTTTACCCTAAAACTTGTTTCGGTAAAGAAGACTCCTGCTGTTTAAGTGTTAAGTAACCAGTACTACTAACAGGTACTGCTACTAGCAAGCGTCTCACGCTATCATCTCCTGAAACGGCCAGAAGACAACTTATTTCAGCTCGCACAGCCTCGGGATTTTCCAGCTCGGGAGGCCCGTCCCTCAGACCCCCGTGAGGAGCCTCTCTCGCCCCATCCCGCAGCGGGAGGAGCGCGGGGGCATGCGGCACGCATCCGTGCTACACACCGCACCGCAGCAGCTGCAGGAGCCGGGAAACGACCTCCTAACTTGCTGCGCACCGCCCGGGAGCCATTTTAAAGCTCCGCTCTCGCAGCTCTCCCTCGGAGGCACCGCAGCGGTGACCGACCCTTCACAGGCTGGACCCCACCGCGGGCCGGCCGGGCGGTGCCAGCCCCACCGCTAAGGGCTGGGCGCCACACAGGTGGCGGCACGAAGCCGGCCGAGCCGAGCCGATCCGTGCCGTGCCGCTCCGACCTGCCCGCGGCCGCACCGCCCGCCCCGGCACTGGCGCTCTCCGCAGCCAATGGCGCCGCCTCTGTCAGGCTCGGCCCGCCCGCTGCCGGCGCGGGGGAGGGCTGAGGGCCGCGGGGAGGGAGGGAGGGAGGGAAGGGGCGAGGGGAGTTGGATGATTGAACTTTCTTGTTTAGTTTCTGCGCCGCGGAGCCTTCTGCCCCCGCTGCAGCCCGGCACCCGCCCGGCGAGCGGGAGCGCACCCCGGCGCCTGCCGCCCCCCGCAGCCCCCTGCCTTCCTCCTCCTCCTCCTCCTCCTCCTGCCCGCCCGCCCAGCCATGGTGCCCGGCGCGTCCCTCGCCCTGCTCCTCTGGGCAGCGGCCGCCTGCGGCAGCCCCGCCGGGCCGGGGGCCGGCGCCGCCGCCCGCAAGGAGGACGAGGCTTTCTCCACGGCCAGATGCACCTCCAGGTGCCTGAGCCTCCAGATCACCCGCATCTCCGCCTTCTTCAAGCACTTCCAGGTAGGGGCACGGCGCCGGGCGCGGTGGTCCCGCTGCCCTCCCGGCGGGTGGCCGGGATCCCCCGGTGCCCCCGGCAAACTTCGCGGTGGCTTCAGCCCCGCAGGCACCTGGAGGCGGCGAGCGGGGGGCGAGGGCTCCTCACAGGTGGTGGCCGGGACGGGGCGGCCCCGAGGGGTGCGCTTCGGGCTTTGCTTTTAACGAGGGGTGAGGGGGGACGCTGGGTGCCGGCCCGGGGAGGGTGCGGGTAAGGCTTCTCCTTGCGTCTCCTTCGGGATAACGGTGGTGGGGAAACGGGGATGAAATGGGGACGGGTGTGGGGAGAGCTGCGTGGTGTAAATGCAGTGAGCTGTGCGGAGGGAGGGTGAGCCCCCAAAGCTCCTAAAGCGGCTGCCCTGGAAGCGATGCGGGAGGCGGTGTAAGGGCAGCGGGTGTCTGCCCGCCCGTCCCCACCTCCCAGCTACGCGCCCTCCTTTCACCTAACCTGGTCATGAACACCTCCAGGGATGGGGCATCCGTAACCTCCCTGCGCAGAGGTTTTCCCTTCTCCACCTGCTCTCGATTGCGCACACGTTGAGCCCAATAAATGAGGGATCCCCCGGAGCACATCTCCCTCTGTAGCCCCCAAATCCTTTTGAGAACAACCCTGGGGGGGAGCGCGGCCACCTCCACCTCTCGGGACAGCGCGGCCCCGCAACGCCTGGGGAGCGCCTCCCGCTGCCCTCCGGCTTCCCCGTGCGCTGCGAGCTGGGACCGATCGCACCGACGGCTTGGGGAAAGCAGCTCCGAGGGCTACGGTGTTGGCACTAAACCCTGGCTGGGGAGAGGTGTACGGATAACCCGCTTAAAAAACAAAAGTCACAGCCAAAGGGAAGCCTGACGCGCTCGTCCCACCGGCCGCGGGAGTCGCTCGCTGCCTGTGGCAGGGTTTGGGTGGGCCGGCGAGACCCGGGCTAAGAGCGGGGCCGGGTGGGGTGGGCGCTGCCCCGGGCGAGGCTTCGCCGGGTCTGGGGGCGGCGAGGCGCTTGCTGGCAACGTGGCCGCCGCTGCCCAGCGCGTCTGGAGAGGATGGTACTCGTTAAAATAGTTCATTGTCTTGGGGAGGGCTTGGGCTTTTTATTTATTTATTTATTCTGGCGTTGTCAGGCGGTTGTAACTTATTTGTTTTACAGTTTCGGTGGCTAAAGAGGCAGTTTAGATCAAGCCAATTCCGAGTGAAAGGCTTTTTTTGTGTTTTCTTGGCATGATTTCTTTTCCGACGTAAAACTGCTGACAGAATGCACATTGCCAAACAATAGTGATTACATTTTAATTAGCTAGGGTGAAATAAGCTGCAAATTACTCAGTTAGGACTTAATAACTGGCTGTTTATTTTTGTAATCGGTTGAAAATCTTAGTTTTTAACCCCAACCTGCTGAAGCACGTGGTAATTTATCTAAATTTCCAGGGATTAAACTCCTGCTGGATATGAAACGACTGTAATGTTGGGAGATAAAGTACTCTCGCTTATGGAAGTTAAGCTTTCCATTGTCTCTTAATGAAGGAAAGGAGAAGAGTTTTGGAGTATAGGGAGGATTTCGTGTTCTCACAGACTGATAATGCACAGTGGAGTGGGCCATATGGTTCCACCAGTGTGAAAGGATATGATGTTCCCTTCATCCCCTCTTTTCTTCCTCCTTTTAACACAGTCTCCCTCCCAGCCCTCCATTTTCATCTTGTCAGGGAGCAGTTTCTGGAGTTCTTTTCATTGCAGAGATGCCCACTTATCTTGTAATCTGATTCAGCCTTTGAAGTGAATCAAACACCCAGCAGGAGCAGGAAGGAACCATACTGTTTCCCAGGTAGAACAAGATTGGAAGGAAGTGTGACCCACTCATTTCCCAGCCCTGCTATAGGTACCACCTAAGTGTGGCGGTCAGGAGATAGCAGCTGGGTGCATGGTGGCAGGTGGACTTCACCACATTGTAGAGAGTTCATTTTACACAGTTGAGGGTACCAAAACCACAGCACTAACTTCTTTTTTTTTTTTTTCTTCAGGGAATGAAGGTCAAGTAGTATAACAGAAATGATAATGATTATTTCTATAACTTCTGGCTATCTTGTTTGAATGGCAATTGATATTTTTTTCAAAATTTCAAAATGTTCACAAGAGATTTTCCTTCATTTCCCACCACCTCCGTCCTGCCCCCTGGAAACTCTGGAAATTTTCACCCATTTTTCTTTACCATCCCTGTTTCTGAAAGGGTCAAGAGAGGTTTATTTATCTAATTCCCAGATATAAAATAAATAGTTCTTAGCTTGTGTTAAAGTTGCATTCCCAGTAGCATATTATTTCAACCAAGGCACATTTCAGATAATTTACTTTTTTTTTTTTTTTTTTTCCCCTTTCATGAAGGCTATTGATGTAGGGTAGAAGAAGAATTAAAGTCTCTCATTTCCAGAATGCCTGATGAGCATGCTCAGATGCCTGCATTTTGTTGTAAAATTTCCAGGAGTTTTCCAATTTTTTTTTTTTTGGACGTTTGGGGAATTCTAGGTAGATCACACCAAAGAACATTTGTGGTTGATATGGGAGATATCCCACCATGTGGGTCTTATAGCTCAATAAAACACGCACATTTTATATGTAGGTACATCTCTCTGCAGACTAAGAAGTTTCATACAAGGTATGCAGGCACAAAGTCCTTTCTTAAAAAAGCAAACAAAAAAAATCAGGCGAGATAGCTCATAGTGCTTTCTTCTTTTACATAGCAGCATATAAATTACAGCACTTATCATCAGTGGAGATTGATGCTCCGTCTCTGAATGGAGGGGCTCTGACATATCTTCTGGCTTCTTGGAACATGTGCTTCAGTTTGTTTCGGGCTGTTGCAGATGAGAAAGCATTTTGTATCCCAACTGTGGCCATTAGGCCACTGGACAGCACAGAATGAGACAGTGATTTACCTGTGACCAGAAAAATATAGGGAAAAGAGAACATGTCTCTCTAGCCTAATGTTTAGGGCACTCATAGCTATTTTGGATATTGAGACTGGGGTTTTAATCTGTAACATAATGAGTAATGACTTGCATGAGACAGTGTCTGGAGGGGCCACTGGCACCCATCCATGCTCTTGGGTGACTGCATTGAACAATAGAGTTCCTACCTCTGTTCTTTGCTTCTGGCAACATTTGTGTTTTTTTATTCTCTGCAAATCACCTGATCAGGAGAGGGTGGCTAGTGTTCTTCCAGCAACTAAAAGCATGACAGTCAAGTGGCCTGCCTACAGCAGAGAAGACATGGATTCGACCTTGATAGTTCTACTCTATACCTGTGAGGCTATTGTCTAAAAGAGCACATCTGTATCTTAGCGAGGAACCCAAAAGTTGTCCTTACAAGAAAGGAAGGGCAATTCCTTCTCTGGTTTGGAAAGAAAGGAAGGGCTAAGGTGCCTGGCTCCATGAGAAGCATCAAGACTATGAATCCTCTGTAAAAGGCATGCTTTTTTGGGGACTGAGGTTGTAAAGAACATTGTTTCTCTCAGCAGTTTCAGACTAGCAGTTAAGAAGACAGTTCCTTTCCCCATGTTTCAGCTGATGGACCAGAAATGTCTGGGATTCTAATTTCAGGTATCCAAAGTTTCTTTGTGAACCCAGCTTTATAGTGACTCAAACTAGGTAAAAGCCTCATGAAGACCAGGTCACAGTATTGCATGTTTTTGTTTGTTTGTTTGTTGTTTTTTTGTTTGTTTGTTTTGTCTTGTTTTGTTTTTATTTCTCAAAAGGGATGTGGGTATAAATAAAGGACCCTGTATGGCTGGCTGGGAGAGAGGCTTGAGTACTCAGACTAGTTTAGTTGTCTGCGTAACTTGTCTGTTTTAGTGGTGTAAGACTAAAGACTCCTTGCACTGCTGTCTACAGGTATAGCCTTTCCCATCTGTGATATTAATTGTAGATGAACTCATCTCATTTTGGGGGAACGGGCATGGCAGTGGCCTTTAGCATTCTGTTTTCAAGTTGAGTGAAAGCATGGTTTGGATTTTAACCTCTACTGCCAGCTGTCTGGGCCAGGTTCAGAAAACAGCATGATTTAAAGTTTTGTTTGTGAATAAGAGCTTGGGGCAAACGTCTGAGTAAGTTCATAAGCTAAAAGTACAGCATTAAAAAAAAAATATGGAGAACAAACATTGTTTACTTGGACCTGAGAACTCATGGATATTTGGTCTTAGTTGCCACGTGTTACAGGCCTCTCAAGCTTAAGACATGAAACTCAAAACGTTGACTCAGGTAGAGGAGGTGTACATCTCATGTGCTGGGTCAGAAGTTGAGAGGGTAGGAGAACATACCAGAAAAGGGAAGAATGGCAGCAGGAAGAGGTTGTGGGTACCTGTCAGACTGGCCCTGTTTGCTGTGAAGAATCAGAGAGTGGCCAACAACCACATGCTTGTTGAATTGGAGAGTGGTGATCCCACGGCACCTCTGGGATGGTTTGTTCAATCCCCCTGAGCAGGGTCAGCTAGAACAGGTTGGTCAGGACTGTCTCCAGTCAGATTTTGAGTACCTAAAAGGATAGAGACTCCACAACCTCTCTGGGCAGTTGCTTCTTGTGATCAGTTACCTTCACAGTAAAATAAAATTTTAAAAGTGTTTCCTGATGTTCAGATGGAACCTCCTGTGTTTCAGGTTGTGCTGCTGCTGAGAAGAGTTTGGCTCTGTCCTCTTTACTCCCTCCCATCAGATATTTATAAACATTGATCAAACCACCCCAAGACTTCTCTATTCCAGGCACAACAAACAGCTCTCTCAGCCTCTACTCATATGAAATATGCTACAGTCCTTTACTCTTAATGGCCCTTTGCTGGATATGCTCCACTAAGCCCATGTCTCTTGTGTACTGGGGAGCCTAGCACTGGACCCAGGACTACGGATGTGGAGGAATGACTGGAACAGGCAATAGGAGTAATTACATTTTAAAGCTACAATGCAAACTAAATGCCGGTACTAACTTTCAAAACCACACTCAC